AGTAAAACTCAAAGCACAGTACTTTAAAAACCAAGGCTATCCTTCTGCAGCTACCTTTAACATACTAACAGAACTTTGAATATTTTGAGTTTATTTAGTAGCACTGGAGCTTTCCCCAGCAAAGAGAATAGGGCCTTGGCCATTTCACAGGAAAATACCATCCATTCCAAATTAAGACATAAGTTCTAAGCTTTTCAAGTATTTGTATCTTTGTATCTTTGACACTTCAAATCACTGCAGAGCTTCTTCTATTCATCAAGCTAGCTCCAGACAATTGCCACAAGAAGCAGCCATTGAGCACTAGGAGCTCCCCACTATACTCCAGCCATCTATTTCAGAAGTATAATTTTAAGCTCAAGAGAACTCAACACTCGGTTTAACCAACTTTTTCTGTCTTACCTGTTTCTTCCTAGAAAGGTAATTCTACTCAAAACAGTCTCTCCCACTGGAAGCATGTGATAGTCTGGAATAGACCATGTATTCACCACTTGGACCGTGTCTATATACATCTGTTCATTCCACCCTAGCCAACTTCATGACAGGGCCTACAAGACATGAATCATAGCACTGTACATACCGAACTACACAAACTCAGAGAATTCAGTGTGCTTAGAAGACTTTGTTTGGAAAGAAGCTCATGCATCCAGTGAATTTCCAACTGACCACTATGAAGGTACTGATCTACCGTTTCTTCCAGTTGTTATTCTTACAATGTGCATCTAAGTAAAGAAACATTAAAGAACGTGTGCTTTTAGCAGTTGTTCTACTTTGTACATATAATATAGCCTTATGCTTGTAGAATTTAATCATTCAAAAAAGAGAAACAAAAGTTTGAGAAACCATAGTCTATTTACAAAAGAGGCAACACTGTTTAATAATGGATATTTAAGATTGAGTAACTATGAAAAAAAGTTGCGCATTTGGGAAGAACCATCTTTCCAGTAGCTGTGCTCTTCCAGGGAGAGCAGTTGTCCCTTCTGTAATAAATCATCTTTATAGTCTGTGCCTAATCATTGAAGAGATACAGAACAGAGGATGGCATAAGGGATTCCTCCTTAATCGAAGCTGTGTAAGAGACTTGTTACCTAATGTTTTCTTGGCCATGCCAAAAATACAATAGAAGAATTCGGCCATCCCATTCACTATCTACTGAAGTGGATAAAGATGGAAGGAGAGGACAAAGCATCTTATCTAACAAGACTGAGACTTCAAAGGCTTGATTACCTTCTGATATTATTACAACTACCAGGACAGCCACAGCTGTCAAGATTGTTCACATTGTCCTGAGACTCCACTTAATCATCACTGCTTGTTTCTACATATAACGATCACTTAGTATCAAGTACCTACAAATTAGTTTCAGTTACAGAAAGAACTAATCTACTTTTCAACTTAAACTACCCTAGGGAAAACAGTTGCAATGCTGATGTTGTCCAACATTAAGTACACTTCAGTCTGGTTTCATTTAGACCAAATTAAGAGATTTGTTGGGCTTTATTTTTCCCAATTACGGAAAGTCACAATGTATTTTTAAGGGTGGAAGGTGCAACCTAGTGTTGAAATATCATGCTTTTGTATTCCCTCTAGGGAATGTGAAGAGAGAAACAAGTACCTTAAAAAGCACTGGTAACTAGTGACAGCGAACAGCAGAAAAGCCTAGTTATCCCGAGATTACTATGTAAGAAAAATACTATTGATTCCATCTTGGCAATAATCACTTTTTCCATTTTTTTTTAGGCAGAAGATGAGATACATAAATCTCCCCTAAATCAGTATCCTTACTTTCTAATCTTAACATTTTACTCACAATACCTGAACATTGTATTCCTTGTTCAACATGAAAGCTGTATTTCAGTAATCTTTTTACAACAAAGAAATCCTTTTAAAAAAGCCCATTCACATAGTTATCTATGGACTTTTTACTAATCAAACTGATATATGTTACCTTCAATGTTTTCATACTGATATGAAAATTGCTGTCTGACACATTGTTTTACTTACTTAGAAGCTGAAAAGGTAAAACAGTAATGTTTATAAATCTTCATTTTCCAGGTAATTTTCCTTTAACTATCTATTTCAACTATCACCACCAACATCTGCACGCTCAAACAGGAATACAGTCTATTATTTTCATATCCATAAGAGTAGGTCTTCCATCAACTCAACTAGTTACTAATACGGAAAAGGTTAGATTCCTAATTCCTCCCTCCATGTGGATTAAATGTCAGGCACTTCTTCAGTAGATCAAGTTACTCCATAGGGAAAATCTGCTGAAGATGTGACATATCAACAATTTGATCTTTACATAACATTATCCCTAAAAGATTTTCCTTTTTGCTTGGGAGCAGGAAAGACAAAAACAAAAGAATGCAAATCAGACAGCCAATGATTCATTACACTGCTACAGGAAAGCCAAGCTAAGGAATTTGCTCCCATTCTCTTCTATTTCCAGAACCTACTGCTAACACACTACATATAATGTACATTACATATGATCACGCCTTTCCTTAGCTTTGATCTTCCAAGCTCTTTATGCCTGGGACTATAGACTCTGAACAAATTCCACTGAGAACAAGTCATAACAGTGTTTTTCTTAGACCACCAGCTTAATGCACTAAGCAACTATCAATCATTAATATTTTCTCCATGGAGCACCCTTATCAACTCTATATGATGTGCAAATTGATATCCTACAGAGCTCTATGTTTACATTCAACATTATCTACTGCGCAGCTTATCCATAAGACAGATCTATTCGTATTTTTACTAATATGATAATCATATTAACGATAATCACATTCCATGGTATGCCACATGCGATAACTTCCAGCTCTATGATTGCAAGCATACCTTCTTAAAATCAGCAATGTTCACTTGAGCTTAATTTAATTCTTGAGCAAGAACCACCAGGTTAAAAGAACGTCTCCCCAAGCCATCAACACATAGCAATAAAAGTGCTGTTTCAAGTACAGGAGCTACCACGTGTAAACTTAAATAATTTTGTTCGTAAGACGAATATCAAGGTCAGACTGATTTTTAGTTGAGATTGTTGATCTCAAGAAAGAATACATCCCTTCATAACTTCTAAACTATGCTAATGACATGATGGCATTCTATGATATAACTATTAGCTGTAAGCAGTACTGAATTACACTTTCAACATTAAAAAGGGCCTTATGCATAGCTACCATGGTGACAAAACACTAGCATAGAAAGTTGTGCCTCCACTACAAGGAACTATTCTTCTCCATGGCATTGAAAAATATCAACTGCATCATGAGAAACACAAAAGGTCTGAAAAGAAACAAAATTGCCTTCATTACTAACATAGTGGTTTACAACTAAATTTGTCATGCACTGCTACAATTCCTCACCCTCCCCTCAAGAATCTCAAGTCATTATTGAGACTGAAACACTGCTCTGGAAAGGGGTCATTCTTCGTAAAAGGATTACTCTATTTAGACTGTATTGCTTTTCTGCCAAGCATCAGCCATATAAGGAAATCAAAGTTCCCTACCATTTAATTTGCGCAGACCTTTCTGAAGCCTAAGAATAACCCTTATTGCTGCCTGGAAAGGTAAGTCTATAAACTGGAAGTCAAATTATTTATTTGTTATCAGCCATTGAAACCACTTTTGGCAATTAAATGTTACCATTTTTCCTCACAGTATATCAAACAGATGGAGTTGGATTACAAAGTTTTTCTTCAAACACTAAATTACCCTATGCTGTTAAAGAACTATATACATAAGAGTTTCAAAATTTTGTAGAGAAATTACTTTGTCCAAGCCTCAAAAATACCAATACACTTACAAGATCAAAGCGCACATATCCTATCACACAACATGTTGCTTTTAAGTTTGACTAACAGGAACAAACATTCAAGCAAACTAACACAGAGCTATCTATGGCTTCTAGCTCATTTTGAACATTCACAGTATGAGAAATTCCTTGCCTTCATGAAAACAAACCGATTATTGGCTCTTTAAGGCATGGGAAATAAACCTTCCGTGAGCAATACTGCCTTCACTAAATGCAATTATCTAGTCGGCATAAAAAGCACTACCAGTACAATACCCTACACCAAAACTTCATATTTTGTTTCCCCTTCAACAGCTTCAAAACGAAGTTCTTTCAAGAATTATGAAGGGGAAAGTGGTCATCAAAACCAGACAAGGCTACATTAACTCTCAAGTTCAACTGCATGTACTAAGGAAGTCAGACAACTAGCTAGCTGTTTTGGTTTTGCTTTGTATTTTGTTTTAAATCAAGGTTCTTAAGATACACTTTTCCAGATCAATATGCAGTACAGACCTCTGCTAGATAAGCTTAAAAATATGCAGTCTGTTACTTTCAGACGAGAGAAGGGGCAAACAGGAAGAAGTGGTGGCAACAGGCGAGGGGAAAAACTGCGACATTTACAGAGGACCAGGGGGGCATATTTTTATAAAGAAACTTAGCAACAATCTTGAAGAAGTCCGGCTAGACACTCAGCGATATTCCAGAAAACAAGGCAGACACAGGGAGCACGAAGGTTCAAGATCATTCGATTAAATAAAAGATACCACCTCCTGCTTTAGGACTTTCTCATTTCTCGATAAGTTAATTATATTTGCAGTGTTACCAAACGTTTTGGAAGGGAAGGAGCTGAAGCAGCAGTCACGGAGTCTAGCAGTTTCAGCTCAGTACCTCCTCGGACCGAACAAAGGAACTTCTGTGTCCTAGGAGATTAAAAACTTTCGGACTCCCAAACTCCTTCCTAAGCCTCCATGAAACAAACCATGGACTACGTTCACAAAGGCAGCGTTTCGACGAGAAGGGGAAAAACAGAAAGGGCAGCCAAACTATGCAAGGCAGAAAACAGAGAAAAATAAAGGCCATAAACAGGATATCAAAACGAAGCGTGAACTCCTTCCTTTTTCCCCACCCCCTTCGCAAAGGAAGGATTTTTCTGGTGTTTTTGTTGCTGCTGCTCCCCGAGCCTTCCCTATTTATTTTACCTTTTCTGCCGGGGCGTCTAAACCAGATCCAGCAGGCAGGAGTTTCTTCCGACCCCACGGAAACGCATTACATCCAATCCAGTTTTCTTCTCATAAAGGAGGAATGGGGCAGGGGGGTGGGGGGGAAGGAATGTTACAGTTTTCGGCGAGGACGAGGGAGTTCGCGGAGGGTGTGCGAGGCAGCAGCGCAGCCAGGCTCCTCCCGGCCCCGGCCGGGGTCTGCCCCGCGGGAGGCCCCGCGTAGCGCCGGCCCCGCCCGGCCCCGAAACCGCCCGGCGGCGACACCGCAGCGGCCCCCGCCCCCAAGTGCGGCCCAACCCGACTCCAGTGCCCCCTCCCGCCCCCACGGCGCGACGGGCACCGCCGCTCCAGCCGGCGCCGCAGCCCGAGCGCGGCCACCGCCCCGCACACCCGCGCCCGCCGCCGCAGCCGAAGGCGGAAGGGGAACGTATGGCCGCCTGCCTCACCTGCCCGCCGCCGCCACCCTCGCTCCCCGCCTTCTCTCGCACACCTCCCCTTCTCCCTTCGCTTCAGCCTCCCGCCCCCCTCCCCGGCCGCGGCAGCGGGGGGCGAGGGGAGGCGGCGGAGCTGTGGGGAGGGGAAGTGAGCGCCCCGAGGCAGACACGCGGCGGGGGGAAGGGGAGGTGGCCGCGGGAGAGTCCGCCGCGCCCCTGCTGCTGTAGGCGCCGCGCACCGCTGGCCAGGCCGGAGGAGGCACTGCAGCGGCGGCGGGGGGGAGGGGGGACGGGGCGGGGGCGGGAGCGGGGCCCGGGCTGGGACCTGGCGGCGGCGGAGGCGGGCGCGGGATCGGGCAGGCGCGGCTGACGCGCCCGCACTGGCTGTGCCGGGCGGGAGGAGGGGACGGGCGGCCACTCCGAGCCCCACCGCGCTCCCGCTCCCCCACCCCGCCCGCACTGCCGCGGGGCCGAGCGCTGGGCCGCGCCGCAGCCACTCACGAGCGGGGCGGCCGTGAGGGACAGGCCGCGTGGCCAATGGGGCCGGGCGGGGGGCGCTGGCGCGGGGCGGGAGCGGCGCCGTTGGGGGCCTTGTCCCGCCGCATGGAATGGCTCCTCCCGCCCCTGCCTGGCCTGGGGCCCGCGGGGGCACCGCTACGGGCCTGTCTTTGTCTTCAGAAGGGGCGCAGGCAGATTTAGTCCTGAATGATAAAAGTTTTCTCTTAAGCAGCTCATCTCCCTAATGTAATGGTTGCACACCCTCTGTGCAAGCCGCTGAGGCGATGGCTCATGTCATCAGGTGCTGCTCGTCGCGTCGTCCTGGCCATCCCACCCTTGCTCCATCACACCTCATGCTGCCTGTCTTGGAGTCACCAGGGTCTGGGGGAACGAACACACCCAAGGGAAAAACTGACGGCCTCCACCCACGGTATGCCACGGTGAACTTGGATGCAAATAACAACAATTAAAATAATGCTGCGTATGTAGTCACACTGTTTCACATAAACCTTGGAACACTGCCGTGTGTTTTCCAAGTATTTCAACACTACCAGTGCAACACAATGGTACTGAAAACACTTGCTGACAGACAGAGTCACGTACAAATAATGTGCACCCGGTGTGTACACCAGAGTCACATAGCTTCGGTATCGGTGTGGTTTGGATCACAATAGTGCATTAACGGAAGTGAGTTTCTGTTTAATTTCCTGGATTGTTTCAAATGGGTGTTTGATAGCCTATTGTGTGTGCAATATGCCATCTTAACAGTCCTGGAACCCGGAGTTCTGCTCAGCCACCACACAGCACACAAAGCTGACAGCAGGGTGGATTTGTACATGCTGCTTACCTTATGCTCCTTAATTGTGCTCTGCAGAGACCACATCTAAAGACAGAGGTAGTTTTGTTTCATGCTCGTTTAATCCTTGGCTTCTCTACTAAGACTGCCACCAAATGAGCTGGAATAGGGTTTTATTATGATAATTTGTTTACTGAGAAATTGACAAAATGCTAAAAAAATGCCATTTTAGATGAACCGTTGAACAGCAATGGAAAATCATATGTCATGTTAGTATTAACATACCCCGATTTTGGCATACAACTAGGTGTGGAAAGTCCTTTACACCCTCACCAGTCCCGAAAGTAACTCCAAATGGTAATTCCTGTTCAGGGTCATTGGTTGGTTCATCCAGTTTCTTCCAGTGCTTTACATAAAGAAGGTTTAATCTTTAGCAACAAAACATGCAGTTGATCATATTTTTATAAAAGTCCACTATGTTTAACAATACTGTTATTTATTTGAAACTTCTCACCTGTGTATGAGAATTTTATGTTCAAGTATCCCATTTGTATCCAGATGCAGAAAATAAGCATGTATTTCTACTAGGATCATAGTATTCACTATTCCTTTACTTTTCTACAAATCCTCTCTCCATCATCACAGAGCATACTGCTCTGCCTTGGAGCCTAGATTTATACAGCCATCAGAGTCTGTAAAAAATAGAAGTATATGTGTGTACATATATCTTTTTCCCAAAACATTAAATCACTTCCATTTCTTCTTGTTCAGATTAGCCATTTTCTTCAATTAATCAATTTTGGACTAAAGCCAAGCAAGAGAATTTCACCCCAACTCACAGCAAAACAATGCACTACATTGGTGCTATAATAAAATTACTGATTTTTTTAATCTCTTGCAAACAATTGATCATTCCTGTCCAGTACCCAATAATGTGTCCTTCTAATTAATGTGAACAGCTCTCTGTAACTCATGTCCTCCATCATGAACTCTCCAAGGCTCTTTTATGCGTGAATTATCCTAACATTTTTAATGTGAAAATGTTCTTTGGCAATGTTTACTGCAAATTGCCCAATGCATTTATTAATGCAGCAGAGTAAGAGACGGGTGTGGGAAGTTTATAGTAGCTGTTGCTCAGATGGTGAATCTCCCGTAGTTGTTAATGTTAGTTTCGAAGTAAAATACTGTTTCACTTACAGTTTTAGCCATCAAAAATAAAAGCCTAGCCAAAGTCTGATGAAACTCTAGCTAGCTAGACTACAGCTCCTGAAGACGTTTTATACAGACAAAATATACCTATACAAGTTAAGAAAATACCAGGAGTTATCCCAGGGACCTAAAAGTGCTATAAATATCAAGACAGTATTTAGATTACAGCTTCAGCAGAGTCCCCAGCAACATTAATTCCCAGAGTTGGTATCCCAGTTACCAAATAATTACAGATTAAGTGCACAAAGTACAAAATAGAGAGTTACATAATGAGTCTTTCAAGTGAGACTGTGCAACTGATCCCACTGAATGTTTAAACAAATCCTTTACGCACAATTTCATGCTGGACATCAAGCCCAAACTCCTCTCATTTTAATTTCTACTTCCATATTTGAACAGGAACACTAGTAAATACTGCAAGAACATGCAGCTAAACCAAAAGAACATTTGGTGAAACAGCCACCTACCTCTATGTTTGTCCTGTTCAAGAGTTCAGTGGTCTGAACAACGCATACATAGTTTTTCTGAGTAACAGGATTTAATTGCTGCTTTTGCCTGTTTTTATTTACCACTGTTGTTCATTACGATCATGTGTTTCCACTTTTACAGGAAATAGATAGAAAAGCCTCTGGGGTAAGCACTTCTGCTTATTAAATGCCCAGGTAGTGACTTGAACAGTGAATTTCAAATTGATTTGAATTGGGACTTCTGGACATCGTTGCAATATAAACATTAAATAATAATTAGTGAAAGTAATAACTACCTGAAAGACATAAACAGAAAATAAATAATCTTTTTTTTTAAAAAGTATATATTGAGGTTTATTTTAAATGCTCCGTAATTTAAATTTGCCCATGGTCCAAAATGTCTTCCTGTAATATTTTCTGAATTTATATGATTTACAATAGGATCACACCACATTTATGCTGATGAAATCAACACAAAACTGGTATAATAAGTCTTAGAATTGTGTTCTTCTACTTCTAAATACATAATGCATATCTACTGTATTTAAAGAAAAGCTAAGTAAATAATCTCTGTTCAGTTTACCTTTAATAAAATCCCAAATTTGCACTGGTTACATACACCATACAAATAAGTTTTCTCTGTACTTGCTTGCATTGTTTTTCAAATACTAAAATCAAACAAAGTGATGAACATAAATGTATTGTGTGCCTAAGTTTTGGAATATTACGCAAATACCAATAGAAATCCTTTGTAACACCACAACCTATTTTGTATATGCTGTGTTCTAGAATGGTTAGGAATGTTTTAGAGTTATTTTTAAACATTTTATTGTGACTTTTTGTTTGTATTTCTCTTCTTTGGTTACCATGGGAGAGGTGACGAATTCTGAGGAACACTTGGCACACTGTTTCACATGGAGGAGAAATTATAAGAAGGTGTTGTTAAGGCACCTTTACTCTTGCCTGATTTGGACTGCTTTGCTCCTGGACCGTCTCCTTAACACTGGCTTTAAACTATACTGCAGCCTTTTAGCCTAAGAGTCTGGTTTGACAGCTGATGCCACCACATAAATCTTGCCCTGGTGAAAACAAACAGAAAGGAATCAAAATGCAGCCATGCCATGTGAGGATACTGACATCTGCCTGCATATCATAACCACAAATCCTTTGCTCACAAGTTTAAGAGAAAGAGTTAACATGAAGTTGGCAGAAAGAGCCAACAGTGAAGTTGCCTAAAATAAGACATGTGCTTGGTATTTTGCCTATGCATCAGTGATGGTTTTGGACTGCCTTTGGTAAGTTCTTGGATCCTAAAAGGGTAAAAGTTAATGCTGTTGAGATTTTTCTAATTGTAGGATGAATTGCATTTACTTTACATTTTATGGCTTATCTCTATTCTGATGATTAATTTTTCTTAGAAAGGGTTAATGCTGACAATACAACTCTCTTAGTTTATAGCAACATTGTTGTACATGCACACACAACAAATTCTTTACTTTTTCCTTTCCATTTTCTGTAGATAATGTCAGTCATGTAAAAGTACTAACAATATGTGAATTCTTGGCTTCATTGAAGGCTCAATGATATTTCAAGTTGAATTTCTTATGGATTACTGAGTTTGGAACCACAAGCTAAATGCTTTTGAAACAAGGAGATGCAGACAATCCAGTGAGATGACTTATTCTATCTCTAGACCTGTTAAACAGACAGATTGTACCTTAAGAATTTTTGATTTGT